GACCCTCTTCACACACAGAACCTATTAAACCAGGCTGTAGGTAGTGCTTCGAGAAAAATCTCATAAAGACTGACTGTCTCTGCTCAGTTTGTTTCATCTTCCATCATGCTCTCATGCAAAAGATACAAATGACCTTGTCTGGTCAGTCAGAAAATTTCTGTCTATGGCAGCCACCTCTTCTGTGGCATTAGCTGCAGATATCAAACTGATGTTCATAGGAGCCCACGTTATGGTTGTCTGGTACAGAATCACTTTCTGATTTCTTCTTGTGCTCCCCTGAGCTGTGTCATTTAAAAAAAAAAGAAAAAATGTTTCCATTTACTGTATAACTTGCACTAATATGTAGTGTATTTTTAAAAAGGGATATGAATTTCACTGTTACAAGAATATTTTTCCTCTGAATCATTACAGACTAGAGTATTGAAATATTTTTAGATGACATATTTTTCATTTCCTGTCTAAGCAGTCATTTATTTGGTTTCTTTTTTTGTTCTTACAGGATAGTCAAGACACGTGTTAAAAATGGAATTCCTTGTTTTGAGGTTGAGTGGCAAAAACCAGGTTGGTCTGATTTCTCTGTACATACAGAACAAAACAGTTCACAGAAAAAGAAAAAAGCATGCTTTCAAGAGAAGAGTTTGCCAGCATTGGGGCAATGAAATGTGGGTGAGACAGGAAGCTGTTCTATGGAAACAACAGAAAGTGTACATCAAATTTCACATACCCTGAACACTGTCTTCAGGTACTGGTTTTGGCATGTATTAATAAGGGCTGGGCTCTGTATTTCCTCTCTTAATTCACTATGTACCCAAAACTGTGAAGGTTTACTAGCTACAAATTTATCTGTGCTGACAGACTTGTGCCTTCAGTGTGCCCATTTATACCAGGAGGCTGAAAGAAAGAAAGGAAGACTTGACTTGTAGCTAAATCTCAATATGTTGTACTACCGGCCTTTTCACATACCTTCTTTGTACTCAAATCTTTTGTTCTGTGTTTTCTTATTCCCCACTTTGATGTGCGTGGATATATAATGTACATTCATTAACTGTTTTAGAGCATTATGTTGATGCAGAAGATGAGCCTGCGGAGTTGTTCGTAGTCACAGTAGAAGAGGAGTCTTTATTTCAGTCTGCTTATCCTGATATTGTTGCCCTTTATCAAATGGAAAAGTCAGAAGTTCTGAAGAAGAAACAGAAAAGTAAGTCCAAAAGTTTTTATTTCTTACGAACTTCTGGGTCTTGCCAGAATATAAGGAGCAAAAGAAAAAAACATTTCTCCCACAGTTGAGCCCTATCATGTTTTTTTCTCAAGGGTAGGGCATGATATCTTGCAGGGACTGTGCTTTTATCTTATTTTATACTTCACCACTAGGAAGTCTGAACTGTGGTTAATATACCATTCTGAGATGCCCTTTTTTATTTTCTTCAGGCAGGAAAGGCAGACCAAAAGAAGAGGAATTATTACATGTTTGTGATGAAGTTAGTGATCTTCTGTCTCAATTGAATGTAAAGACTAGATGTGGAATTCTTCCTGTGCAAGACATGGTGTCAGATACAAAAACTTCCCCGGAAGATCAGATGCACCAGAGAAGTACTGAATCAAAAAATCTAGTGTTAGCTTCAGCTTCCTGCATGACAACTGGTGAAACGCCAACACCAGCAGCTGCTCTTCCTCTGGCTGCATCATCTTACTCACTCTTACAGAGCACATTGGCTGATTCATCTGTATTGCCAGCACAGTTTCCTAAAACTTCAGGAATATCATCCTCTTCCTCTTTAACAGCTGACCTACAACTGGGCAGTGTTGTTTGGGAAGGAAACTTCTCCAGCACTTCACTGGCCCGAGGGCCTGACAGCCAACATCCAGCAGCTGGTTTAACTGCGTCTATAAGACAGTTGCATCCACTTGCTCATGGGACAGTAAGGAATGGCTCAGAATGTTCTGGTGCCAAGCAGCCTAATCAACATCACTCCAATAGTGCAGACAGTTTGGTTTCAGATGATGCTGTGGGACAACTTCAGAAGTGGTCTTTAAGTGAGCGAATACTTAAGAAGACTCCCATTCCATCAAAGCCTCTGTTGTCTGAAGATATGATGCAACTGGAGCCTTCGAAATGTTTTAAACAAACATTGAATCCTGAGAAAGATTACATTTCTTCCTCAAGTCACTTAAATAGAGTGATGCAGGAAAGCAAAAATGTGCTATCAGAAAATTACACAAGGGAGTCCAGTGTACAGATACATCAAGATCAATGCAAAAAAGCTGAAGGCCTGGCTGAAGTGATGCAAACAGACAGCAGTATAAGCAATTTGACTCTATCCCTCAGTGGGCAAACAACAGAGATGCTGCATCCCAGATGTGAAAGGCTTCCAGTGTTTCAAAAGCCAGCAGGTGTAACTGGATGTCACATTAAAAAAGCTTCTGCTCAGACTTCTTTTAAAAAGAGTGTGTGTCAGAACATATGTTCTTCTAGTGAAGACAGCGACGATGGCAACACGCATAGAAATCTGATTTATGAGCAACAGAAAAGACCGCTGAACCCTGGTCAGTTTAAAAACACTGTTACAAAGAAAAGGAGTAATGTTGTTACTAGCAAAAGAACAAACAGTGACTCAGCCCTTGTAATTAAAGAGGAGAAAAAGGCCAGTTTTAAAAAGGCTGGTAATACTTTCTCATTGCAAGTATCTTCAAAACCATCCTCTGTAGGGGAAGTTAATTGTTCCCAAAGTCCAGAGCAGCCATTTGAGAGGTCGGGTTCTGATCCCTCACAGCAGGCTGAAAGTCCTGTTCTGACCTGTGCGTGGGCAGACAGTCCCCTGCCCTTGTCTGAAAGACTGAAAGGAAGAATCAAAACCAATTAGGGTCTCCATAAAACAGATCATGATAACAATTACCTCGGAACCTTCAGCTCTTACAGAGTTCTTCCTCAGAGTTTCTGTGGTATGCTCTACCACTTTTAAGTGGATGCAGTTTTGATGAACACAAAGTGCTGTGGAACACTCCATACTGGTGCTCAAGTTTGAAACCTAAATGTTAGCACAAGGACCAAATAGCTGATTATAGGCAAGTGCCAGTTACTCTGGACCAATACACAAGCATCAAGATATAGGATACAAGGGAGCCTATTAATGGAAGAAAGGTTTTTTTTGTTTTGTTTTGTTTTGTTTTTTTTTCCCCCAGCCAGTTATGAGGATTTTGTCTTAAAGAAGATTTAGTCATTCTGCTTATAAAACCACTTATTAAAATAGTGCCTGCACTGCTGTGGGATATTCTTAATAAGACAAAGTGATACAGTTCTTTCTAACTAAAATTTCCCATTCTGCTCCAGTGACTGAATTTTGCTAGTTTTAAAATGAGTCTTCAAATCCTGGGGTGCTGGTTGTGTTTGTTATCTCAGACACAGCAGACAGAGACATGCAGCAGATGTGCCATCCCAGGTGGTTAAATTTATATCTGCTCTGCCCTATGACAAACTGTTCTTTGAGTGTGTGCATCTTCCAAAGAATGGAATAAGCCATGTGAGAATATTTTGGTTTTGTAACTGTCATGTGTAATATATAAAGAAATTTGATGGCCATTTTAATCAAACATTTATAGTTTGGGCCATTTTTTTCTTAAAGAAGATATGAAATCCCATTTAACACTCACATCTACTTATAATGGAATTATAGTTAAGTTACAGAAAATTAAAATCTAACAATTATATTGAGATTCTTTGAATAATATATGGACATTTGGTTTCAAAAGAGCATAATACAGTTGTGTTTTTGAAGATGTTCTTCCTGCCTCTTTAATACAGAAGCAATTTCTGTTCCTACAAAAAAAATCATAGCCTTTTCTAGAGACCAGCTAGAAGGAAGGCCACTCTTACCAAGACACAATGTTCACAATAGAAATTTAGAATATCCATATCTTAGTGGAAATGTCACCTCTTTCTTCATAGAGGCTAAGGCTTTAAAAGTTAGGAAGCTTAATTCCAGATTTGCTTAAGGAAGAAGTAGGTAGTCTTCTATAGGTGATACAATTTCTATTTAGCCAGAATGGAAGTTTCTTATTTTTTTTTCTGTGGACTCATGGAAAAAGTTTGTTTATAGTTCATATTCCAAATGAGAGATGTATTATGGAAAAGAGGAAAAATAATATCCAAAATATTGGAAACTCATTTTCAGTTTTGAAGGTGATTGCTCTCCTCTGGAGACTCTTAACCACCCAGCAAATGTGAGAGGGTGGCTAGAAGAATGAAGAGATTCATTATGCAGTGGTCTGTAAGTGAGAGATCAGACCATTTTTTGTGGCAAAATATTGTTAGTGGTTATGTATGATTTTTTTCTTTGCTGCGGATTTTGGATGCCGAAAGTTAGAATCAAGAGATTGAATTTTCATTAATAAAAGTGCCAACATCATGTGAATGACCTCACTCTTGGGGGCAGGGGGGGGAATGTGCTCTTCTGTTGGAGAGATCATACAGTTTCCAACACAGTTGTGTGTGTTTCTGTGTTTCAGGGCTTTTTTAGAATTGGAAGGCAAGAGCCATTTTTGGAGAGTGTTTGTTTGTTTTCCGAATCTGGCTGAAGCAGGTGCTTTAATGGATGATTCCCTGAGCACGCTGTGCCAGAATTCTTGTAAACGCATGTTTTGCAGATGATGGAAACCAAAAATGAGATATAAGATACTAAGAACTACAGAGGAAAAAAAAACTATGCTCCTGATTATTCCTACAAATTAATCTGATTTTTTAAATGTATTTCAAGGTTGAAAAGCATAAAAAAATCATTTTTTTTCATTTACAGGGTGTCTCAATTGTGTACAAGTTTTCTGCCACTCCTGTAGAAGCAGCAGTAGTTGTGGAACACAACTGTGTAGGATGCCCTCTCTCATTGAGGCTGTACCCACTCAGTGCAGCAAATAAACAAGTATCACTGCACGTGACTGTGGCTTGAGTTAAACTAGTGATTCGTTATGGAAGGGAAATTACAGTTTGTGAAGAGTTTTGATTTGTTTTTCTGTAATTTACTTGGTCTAAGGATTAGATTTTTTTTTTTGCATTTAGAATTGGTTTTACCATGCCAAAGCTGACTGATCTGCAACCTCTCACGCGTGTGAAGGTGCTGTTTAAACAAATTGAGTGGATATAACAGATAACTTTCTTCTGCAAGAAATATTCCTACAGGTTTATGTCAGTGTTTCTGCAGAGCGACTCTACCTGCTGGAGACCTGCTGGTGTTACCTGGTCTGCTACCCCTATGGCTTGAGTGATCCCTGCAGAGATACAGAGCACAGTGTCATGGCTGTGTCACAGCAGAAGTATTTCCACTTATAAACAACATTAAACATCTACTTAGATGTACCAAATTTATTTAACATAGCTCATCAAAAGGAAACATTTGGCCTTCCTTGAAATTGTGACTCACTGTTTCAGGTCCATGGGCAATCAACCAGGATGGAGGATAAAATAGTTTACATTGTATTTTTTGTGGCTCTCTATGTATATATTCTATGTAAACCAAAAACAAGCCAAAACAAAAATAAAACAAACACACACTTAAAAATCTCCTATCAAGCTACTTTTTTCACTGGAAGATATTACTGAAATACTTCACGTGTGTGAACATGCTCTAACAAAAGAAAAAAAAACATTCATTGCATTTACTAATTTCCATGTTATTGATAGACTTGATGTACTCTGTTAATCTTTTACTAGTTAACAGAGAAATTTCCTCATTTGAGAAGGGGCTTATTTAGCTTTGAGGATTGGCACAGGCTTGGCTCTGCTCTTCTGTCGAGGGAGATAGCTGGAAATATAGTGGTGGAAGAGACGGATGGCAGCTGTTCCTTGAGACAAGGTTGTCTTTTCATGTCTAAAAAGGTGTCAAACCTGACATATTCTATCAGCAGATAAAAGGAAACCACAGTTAGAATATTATGGAGTTGTTATAAACCCAAGTGCTACTGACAGAACAGTAAACTCCGTGCTAGATTTAGCACTTTTTTCTTCAGGAAACAAAACACTTTAACTGTTTCAAGAAAAAAAAATTTCGATGGCTGACAGAACCACTTTCCACCCAGTTCTTTTGCTCACATACCCTGCGTTGTAGCTGCTGTCAGTACTGAACTTAATAAGGTTAATCATATGCCAAACTTTAAATGTTCTTTAAACCCAAACCTTGTCTCCACACCCACCCTGATTTCCTGTGATAGAGTTGGAAAGATTTTGTGACTTCAGAGACTGAGCAGAGCTGGAAAAGGGAAGTACCTTTGTGCCCCATGAAAACAGCTACCTCTACCTGATAGATATTTAAAGTAAATTAGCTGCCTCACTAAATACAATGAAGAAAAAGCAGCTAACCTGGGATATTTTTAGTGCCAAGATAGTGTACATTAGTGTTTATGTCTTTTTAAGCTCCATCCTCCCAGCCAAGCTTGAAGGAAAGCTAGTTGTTCTACCAAACGTTCTTGACAAAGGTGGATCTGTGACAAATTATGGGTGTTCTCTAGGAGATGGTGTGGGGGGGAACTGTGAGTGTGGTCTGCTTTGGGTAAATAGGTCGTCAGACTTACTAGATGAACCCTTACACACTGTCTTCTTTCTCCAACCCATCATCCCAGTACTGCTCTGGCAGTGATCCCACATAACAGACAGACAAGACAGTCCAAAAGCTAAAAATTGTCCAGGTTTTTATCTGCTGCAAAACCACAAAATTTGTGGCCTTGTTTCAGGTCAGATGAAGGCTGCCTTCCAGCCCAACATGAATGTCAGGTCTCGGAGCATCTTCAGCCTTTAAGCCTCTGTCACTCAGCCTGCTGTGACGTGCAGTAGACACTTGCTTTGAATCTTTTGCACTGGTGAGAGCTAAATTCACTTCTCAGGAAGCCACTGCTGGAACAAGCAGCGTCTTTTGTACAAGATTCTGCTGAAGGAATGGACAACTGGCAGTTCCTAGGTGACTGTGTGACACTGGGGCAGGCTTACTAATTCCATTTTTTTTATACCTAAATTGTTTTTGTGGTTTAACTGTGAGTAAATCCGGTCTCCATAGAGATTGCTTGGCAGTACTGGCTGCTGGTCTCTTACAGACTTCCAAGTTCATAAAAATCTGAAAATTTCCTGAGTGTGGGGAACCAGAACTACTGCTTAGTAGACTTAATCAGGCCTCTCTTATTCTGTTGGATAGATCAGAGGAATATGGGTTGTCTTTTCCATAGGAGTTTGTAATAAATATTTTATTTATTTTATCTATTTCCACCAAATTTGATGGTTTTAGGGATATAAATTTTTGATAATCAATTTCTCAGGGAAGAGAGAATGGCTTTTCATTCCTTTCCAATGGAAAGAAATTGGCAGTGACTCTGATGACAATCAACTAACTCACACGGGCTTCCCTAAGCTGTGATGTGGGCTAGATTTAAAAAGATGGAGGATGCAGGAGGAGGACATGAGGATGTAACAGAGGTTTTGCCATGAGGGTTATCAAAGAGCTGAGAAAAGTGCTGCTGATTTTATGGAGAAGTCTAGGAGACGTGGCAGAGAAGCAGGAGATACTACAGTGGGGTGGAATAGGGCATGTATTAATCCTGAATTCCCAAGCACTGGTGTTACAACTTATGGAAGGACGTCCTGGGACAGCCCAAGGCACACGGTTCAAACTCTGCCTTTGTACAAACCTGTGCCAAACTGCTGCCCTCCCCATATCTGGCTCCTCCTGTAGTTTTTAATAAGGCACGTACAGCCCAACATCTACTTCTGCTTCTCTATTTCCTTTTTAAAGTGAAGATCCTGGCTTTTACAGCGTGGTCTCAGATCATGGTTTGCATTCTCCGTGTTATTTTAAACATTGTGAGATGTGTGGAATTTCTGTGTATT